TCACAGTTATGTGGCACTTTGGGCTGGGTTACCACATACAAGACAAATCTAATACTTAAGTTTGCAAGCCACTGTAGAGTTGATCATTTGATGTGTGCTGATTGGGCTGCAGGGATGGGATGTGAAAAAGTGACAAACATAAAGGCTTCCTTTCCCCAGCGGAGAAAGGAAACCTTTCCCTGCATTTTCGCCTTTCGTCTCGATCCCCCACCCCCTCCCCCCTTTTTTTTAACTCGCTCGTGTCATTCAAGCTCAAGATTTCTCATTAGCGTCGATTCGTGATAACCGCCGCCGTAATGATTCCAAAATCAGCCCTTCGCAAAAAGACCCAGCTCCTGTAATCACCGCGCACAGCTAATGTCGAACACGCCAAAGCGCTCTGATAATTATCTTATCCAGCCCAGATTTCTTGATGCCAGACACAGAGCGGGCACTCCACTGAAGGCTTTCCACATCACGCTCATTATATTACGTATTGTCCCGGCTCATTTGAAAGTATGATTATCCTCTTTGCCCCTGTGTTGTGGGGAACCATACAAATTATCTTATCAGTGTCATCTGATTATCGGTGACAGTGGCTGTGATGTAACCTGCTCACCCGTGTCATGAATTATTCATGTGGATTTATCAGTTTTTAGGTGCAGAAACCTTGGGGTTTTAAATATTCAGATGCGCTGTCAGAGGGGAAGGAAGGGGGGGGGGGTTAACCGTCGAAGGGAAGGGTTTTGAAATTTCTGGAGTTTTGTTCAAGGATTTTGCCACAAATGGCCTTAACATTTTTCACACTGGTATATGATCAGGTGATGCGTGTTAGATTGGATTTCTTCAACAGAAAACAGTAAAGGGTGCTTGTGTAATTACGGAGCCCACACATGGTGAGGCCGTTCCTGTGTTGATACTTGACCGCAGAGAGAGAGAGAGAACCAACCAATGAGCATCCAGCTGAGAGTTTGAACCGGCCACTCTAACTTTGACAAACACGCTTCGGTCCTGAAAAAGCTCTTCACCTGTTCCTTCTTTTCCAGTTTGTTAAAGCGGCTCGTCTGCTGCAGAACCGCCGCCGCTGCCGTTCACGGCTGAAGGATTCGTCTCTTTACGGCTTTCGGGCCACATTTGCATAATCGTATGCATCCCATGCAGCGTGGGTACACAGAACCAGCACAGATGATCACATCTTATCTCCAAACCGCGCCTCCAGGATAAGAAAAAAGACATGCCGATGTGAAGTAATCTTACTTCCTGCTGACCACGTCGAATTACTGAGGATGTTGGAGAGGGCCAGGCAATGCTTCATAATCTTCAGGCCAGATGTGTGACTCAAATTGAAGTGTTTTATTTGTCCTTTTGTTTTTTTTTTCCCAATTAGTCTTTCAATGAAAATCATTGTATGCAGAAAAGCTTTTTACACTGATTCTGATGGATTTTATGGAGACGCAGAAAAGTAGAGATGGCCTTGCAACCAGTGGCGCCCCAGAAAATGTTCCGGGTGGCCAGACCCCGCTGAAGATAACTGCATATCTTTCTATTACATGAACATGATTGTCTGGTGGGGGCACTATATTGTTAATATATTGTTCTGACTATTCTCTGAAAAAAAAAAAAAAACTTAGATAAATATGTGTGTGCCTGTGGTAAATAATCAAACGTAAGAAAAATTTGCGTTTCCCGTGAACACATGGGGCATAGTGTTGTATGGCCTGATAACACTTGTATAAGATGTACTATAAAAATAACAGTCTTCTCTTGTCCGTGATTTGTCCACTAGAGGGCGCATTGATGCAGTCCAGCGAGTTCAGTTCACATTATAATTCAGTTTCTTACTGAATTATAATTTCTTAGCTAAATTACGACAATTATTTTTCACAAAGGGAATTATAACATTTTGTGGGAAAATAGGTATCCTAGAGAATGTTATAGTTTATATCAAGTTATATTTGGATTAATATCATAAATAAATATGTTACATTTTGTAGACTTAATAAGCAGTGATCCTGAAGTAACCAGCCAGTGTTGTTGTCACATGGTTAAAGCTGTTGCCTTATTTTTTTATTTATTTTTTGCAAAACATAGATGAGTTTGGAAGAATATACATTTAATACATAAAACAGCATTTTTTGTTGACATTATTGCATCTTGTTGCAATAATGTCATGGATTGAAGCAGACATTTTCCATTATTGGGTGAAGTGGGTGGTTCTATGATTTTTCTTTCTTTTTTACCAAGACACAGTTGGCACAATTTTTTGTTCATATGGTGATCTAGTGTCATATTTCCTTTTTATTTCCATCTTCACACTTAACAGGGTTTTAAGCTGATATGTGCCCATTTAAAAGTTTTCATCCACTTTTATTCTAGATCATCAATTCTTTGGTTTTTCCAAATTGAAGATCCAAAACCATTTCCCTAAAACTTTTTAACCCCTTTGTTCTAATGAACACTTTGATTTACGCAAATACATTTTCCTGGTAATATTGTGTTTTTAGCCTCCCTCTGTTATGAAGATGGTTAAATGATTTTCAGATTGCTCACAGGATTTACCTAACTTGGTCAGTGTTGTGTGATTTTTTTTTTTTTTTCCTTGATTTGCCAAAATTACAAATTACACAGCATTCCACATTTGTATGGAAAATGCATTTGTGTGCACCATTGTGAGTATGTGGGTTGAGGCCACGGAAAAACTTCCCAAATCCCCTCTGCCAATAACAAACAGCTTCCAGTGGAGGCAATGTGATGGTTTGGCGAGGCATCTCCCTCACTGGAAAAAACAAATCCTCATTCCACAGTCAATGGTGAGACCATTGCTCCACTCTAGAGACCAAACTCACCGCCCACCACAACCCCAGGACCAGAGTTTATCTGCGACTACTCCCAGTATTTGCAAGGGGAAAGGATGGAAAAGCCTCCCTACAGTCCTGACCTCAACCCAGTGGTACTGTGGAGGATGTGCCAGACATTTTTTTGGGTGTACCGTTCTCCAATACAGTACTGAGATCCATCAATCCACTGTCCTTGTAGAGAAGGCCTCGGTGCCTATGTGGTCACCAGGCCATTGCAGGGAAATACAGAGCCAGTGACACACACTAAGGGGAATTTGGAAAGATCAGCTAACCAAATGTTGATGGAGTTTGGGAGGAAGCCGGAATACCCAGAGAGAACCCACATATAAACGACAAGAACAGGCAAACACCACAGAGAGGGAGACGCCGGCCAGGATTCAAATGCCGGACATTCTTGCTGCTAGGTAACAGTGTTACCAACTGCCCCACCATGAAGCCCCACCTACTGGAAAAGTAAATGACCAGACTGTTGCCCTGGTCATTCACGTCCTACACAATTCAGCAGCACCACAGTTGTTGTTGAACAAACTGTCTTGTTTCTGTTTCTAGAAGTCGTTTATTAAGAAATGAGTAGAATATGAGAAACTTTTTCCAAATTTCCAGACTACATGTCAACTCAGACTGAACTCTGTTCTGATAATAATAATAATAATAATGTTCTGACTTTTCAGTAATACCAGAATTACTGGTATATCAGTATATATCACTCTAAATTCTTTTTGTTTTTTTTAAGGAGTATTTCTATGGAAGGCTTTCCAAAAGCCTAAAATAAAATAAAATGAGTGTTTCTGATTTCGCTTTCAACTATCACACGTTCCTGAGTTCATACTCATTACCGTACAAGGTTTTTCATCGCAGAAAAAAAAAAAAAAACATCTCATCATTTAAATATAATGAGATGTTTATCTGTATTTTACCTGAATTGTGTTTCCATGACAGTGTCTGTGTTGTCGACTAAACGTGGCTGCCATCATTTATTCATTCTGTGCATTTTCAAAGTCTCCTTTATCCAGTGAGGATCTGCCAGGTGCCTTTTATCCCACAGAAGCTGGTTCTGGCAAAATAAAAATAAAAAAACTAGTTCACTGGCGAGAACCCAAGCTGAGCTTTACAGGTGAAGTCACTTCACAAAGGCTACCCTGCCCTTTTATTGGGAGGGATTTAATAAAACAGCCAGCTTTTGACAATTCAATTGAAAATTCCATTCTTGGTCGGCCTTGCGTCTAACTGCAGTGACCCTGTCAAAGCAGTTGTTGGGTAAAGGAGAGGCAGGTTTTTAGAGAGCTTCAGATGACTGGCAGGTGAAAAACACATGATAAAAAGTAATAAAAAAAAAAAAGGTTTGCAGTCAGTGGTGAGAAATGCGTCCCAGCTGCACATGCCTGCAGTTAAGAGCAACAGTGTCATATGTTCGCCCCACGTTTCCGATAGCGACAGAAGTTTCTCGGTGTGTGTTTCTCCGTGAGGCCGCCTGTTCCCCCGGTGGAAACCAACGCGTGTCAGATTTTGCCCTTTCGCCACGTCTGTCTCCGTTCCTCTGATGGTATTTCCGTCCGCGGCCCGTTTTCAATAGCTGCCGACGCTTTTTGCCAAGCTCGCCAGCATGTGACATTCAGGGAGGCTTGTGGAAAAGGACAGCGGTCTACGCCGCAATCTCCATTCTGAAAACCAATCTGAGACATGAAGCTTTGGCATAATCCTCATAAAGCTCCCATGTTATTCGCAGAATGGTAACCAAGTGAGCCTTAAGCTTTGGCAAACAATGAACTGAAAACAGGCATTTGTAGCAAATGCCATGTGAAATTCAGGCACTGTTAGGTCAGCTGTTGCGTAGAGGTGATTTTACTTGATGACTTGCTCAGATAATCTTGTTTTTTGCAAAAGAATATATCATTATTTTACATCAAACATTACGAGCAGGCTACCTGCCGTGTGGTCAGATTCATAAACCTAATGCTTGACCGTGCCAGGTCTGCTCTTCCTGTCCTGTCTGTTCTGTAAAGCCACGGTTCGTTACACTCAACCTAAAGCCCGAAGTGAACCGAGTCTTACTGATGTAGCACAAGATTTTATATTTTAAATTTTTATTTTCTTCCTTTTCCCTTGTGTGTCATGCTAGGTTTTAGTTTTTGAGCCCACATGCAGAAACTCAGAGAGGCAGAATGAAACTTTAGATGTTTATTGACAATAAAGTTCAAAACATCCACAGTCGGGAAGCTGCAGTGGAAGGACTGGCACGGTTGTGATAAAGAATTCTGGTTGGGGGAAGGTTCCGGTACCAGGTTGCGGCTAGGCGTAGAGGCTGACTCGGAGAGGGACGAGGAAGGGAACGACTCGTGAGAGTGAGAGACCAGGAGTCTTCGGGGCGGACTCCAGCCGGAGGCGCACAGCGGGCTCTTAAACAGAGGGATGTGGGAGGACTCCAGTTCCCGGTGAGTCTCGCTCCCAGCGTCGTGAGGGGACTACCCTCTAGGCTCGACAACAGGAGTTCTCCGGGGAAAACTTGAAGATGTCCTGGAAGAGGTCACAAAACAACAGGTAAGCTCTTAAGGCAACTAGAAACAATCTCAATGAGACCAACAGTAGGAAGGCTGGAGGTACCACAATAGGTAAAACACTCTGGCGGTGAAGAGCGGGAGCCTGCCGCTTAAATACTCCTCTAGATGACGATTTGAGCCAGGTGCGTACCGCGGAGCCTGCTGACACACCCACCAAGGACAAGGAAACAGCCTCTGGCGCCCTCAGATGGTCAGAGCTGAAAAAGAAGAAAACCCAACCCGGTACCTAACATTGTGTTTATCGAACACTTTCCACTGCATGTCACAGTTTTCTTCATGTTCAATTAGACCTTACTGGTACCTTCAGTAATATAAATAATCCAAAAATAATAATAAAAAATACAAAAACTTCAATGTATTGTTTATTAGATTGTATCCAGCACAATGTGGCAAACAGTTCTAGTGCATTTGTAAAGTAGAAGGGGAATAAGACGCGGTCTTTTGAAAATAAAAATCTGTGGCGTGTATTTTTAAGTCCAAGGCTTTACATAGTCAGGCCAAATTGCTGAAATCGTTCTCATTGTTGCAGTTGTGTGACGGAAATTGTGCCATTTTGTCCTCAGCCTCCTGTCGTCCAGCCCCCACTTGCAGTCACCAGGGCTGTTTACCCCCTTTTGGATGTGAAACTACTGTATGACTTGCGTGAATTTTGTGCATGTGTGTAAACTGAAATCAGCCCAGACTACTCAGCTTCCAGAAGCTGGTTTTTCAACCAGAGATTCAAACGGATTGTTTTGAGGAGCAATTATCTGAGGCCATGAGGAAGTACTGTTGGACCAAAACCCTGAACTCCTTCTGGTCCGACGCAGTGGGAGAACATCCCATCAACCCTAGTGCTCAGGGCTCGGTGTCCTACATCTTTTGGATGCGTCTCTCCAGTACAAATGATAAATGGACTGAACTTATATAGCGCTTTTTCCAATCATTTTGACCACTCAAAGCGCTTTACACTAGAGTCACATTCACCTATTCGCACTCACAAACTCTCACACATTCATATACCGATACGCAGATCGGTAGGCAATTTGGGGTTAAGTGCCTTGCCCAAAGGCACATCAACACACGGCAGGAGGAAGCTGGAATCGACCCTACAACCTTCTGATCACAAGATGACTACTCTTCCCTCAGAGCCACAGTCACTAAAATAGAATTAAATGTTTTCAAGGCCTCTACTGGATTCCATCAGGTGATGAAGGAGTTTGGTTATAACCCATTTTTGGGTCAGGTGTGTGGTCTCAGAGAAATGCCAGAGACATAACAGCCGTTCTCTTGGCTCTGAGGACCATCATTGGAGACCATTGCTTTGCCCGGCTTGTGGCAAACTGAAAATAGGGCTTCTTCTTCTTCTCTCCACAGTGGCCTTCTTTTTGTCAATCTTCCATAAAGGGCAGATTTATGACATGAAGGACCCACACTTGTCTGGTTGACACCGTCTCTTGGCGGCTTCCCTGATTAATGTTCTGCGTTACTAACGTGTCAGTTCAGATGGACGGCCATGTCTTGTTTGCAGTTCTTCCAGGCTCTCCACCTCTTTGATTTGATTGGACACTTCTTTATAATGTGATCAAAACTGGGGAAATTATTTACATTTGCAGAAAACCTTATTATTGTGTTGTTTCTCAAACACTCTTCAGATCCAGGTAGACTATTGCTACCTGGATACTTTATGTGGCAACAAAGTAAAGAAGTCCCTCATCTATTGGATTACAATTTTTGGAGCAATCAAATTTAGAGATTTCTTTGGATGTAAGCAGGTTCCAATAGATTGTCTGTTTTATAAGAGAAACCTAACAAGAACAGAAAAAGGTAACTAAACATTCATTTTGTCTATTTCAGCATGTTTTCTTTGAAAGTTTATTTCACTTAAAGCTAAGGTTTCACAATAAAAATAAAAATTCTCATTAACTACGCCTCACACCTGCCAACAGACTTAAATACTAGAAATAGCTCCAGCTAAAGCTTAATGTCTTGTGACCTTTACAGAGATATCCTGTAGATTACCGTTCCGCTGAATAAACACTTCACGCCTGAATTTCAGATTCTGTTATTGCCTGAGTGTTTATTTTATTCAGGCAAGCCCTAGGCCGTCTGAAATCCATTAGGAGCTGCTTGGAGCGCAGTTGGTCCTTCTGTGTGACAGCTTCTCCAGGCCATGGTTTCCTGATGCTCAGGAGGTTCTGATGAGTTCATTGTCTTAAAGTTACAAAGCGGTTTGGAATTTGTGAAAACTTCATTTCTGTAATCAAAATATGTAGGATTTTATTTTTTTTTTTATGTTCTTCTAAACATCAGAATCAACTTTATTCATCAAGTCTCCACACACGAACAAGGAATCAGACTTTGGTTCCACTTGCCTCTCAGTACAGACATTTAGAATATGAATGTTTTTATAAAAAACTAACAAATAATTCACAGATTCCCATGGATCTTGTGAACCCATTAACAAGCATGAGGTAGATGTATCGTCATCACCACTAAACACGACCTTCAACTTTAAAACTATAAATCAATACCTCATCAATGCATTACCCCCAAAACTTTACATTGATGGGGAAACTACATACAGATCCAGCAAATGGTTCAAATACATTTACTCTATGTTCTGAATATTTTAATGAAAATACCTTTTAGCCACTAAAGAACATATAAGAGAGCTATCAGTTCAACATAGAATGTGTTTATTGTTGCTGATTATGTATAAAGGGATTATTTGGATTTATATTCCAATTCACAGGTAAAAAATGCCTTACAATTACACAATTTTTAAACAGGTGTCTGTAATCACAGACTACACATCTAGGTCAGTCCTAGGACTGATTTAGACCAGTCCTAGGACCTACATCACTTTATTTAAACAATAAGTTTTACACTATCCAATTTTTTTATTTAGAATGTTTGTTGATGGTGAGCTTTAAAATAGCCTTAAAATGTAAAATTATAAAAGCTTACACTGTTATAGATGTATGCATGCGTTGCGTATCCATGTAAACATGTAATGAATATGAGTATCTTAGCTCATCTCTATTTACTCAATTTTGCAGCAAAAGAGCTTCTTTAAATGGAAATGCTGCTTATTTTGTCAATATATAGTTTGATTAATTAATTACAAACCCTGCAGTTAACTTGACTTAAAATTTAAGCTGCTAATTTCTCCCCAACTATAAGGAGTTCAGTCCTGACCACGTTTAGTGTCTTCACATGAAACAATTCCCATCTGGTCTTAATATCAAAAGTCTGAAAATCTAAACTGCATGATTGAAATAAATAAATAAAAAAATAAAATAAAATAAAGAAATTCAAAACAAAATAACCGTGTGAGGTCAAAAAGAGGACCTGCGATCATTCGTCAGCCCACCGACCTCCAAACCGTCGGCGTCTCTGTGTTACAAGTGACACAGTAAAGCAGACTAATGATGGCTGCTCCAACGCTCGGTCAACACAAACGTCAACAGAAAGCTTCAGTCAGACACAAAGTGTTTGTTGCCATAACCCGGGGCCTGTGATGGTGCAAAAGAGCTGATGGTGAAGCTTCCAGAGTGTTCTGCAGGGAGGGGGAGGCGGAGGGGGTTAGATGAATATGCCTTCCGCTATTGTTGCCATGTTATGACCAGTCTAATGAGATCTGTGGAGAGTTGGGCTTCTCATTTCGTTGTATCACCCATACACTCTCCTGCACTGGGAATCCACTGCGGGATTGTCCTCAGACACATCCACTCAGACGGATGGATGCATTTGCTGATGTTTCAGACAACAGAGCATCATTCAGTAGGTTTTTTTTTATTTTTTATGGCCTACATATAAACACACCGGAGCTCTTTTTTTTATTCCCATATGAAGCAGAGGAGTGCTTTTAAAATGGCTTCTTCTTTTTGTTTTCCTGAGCTCCAGGAATATAAATTCTTTTGTTTCTCCCTCCTTGTGAGTCACGGTGTTTTACCTCCCTAATTTTTTTTTGGGGGGAGGGGGGGCTTGTTTACTTTATTTTCTTGATTTCTCATCAAAGGAAGGTAAAAATAATTCTGATCTCTCACCCCAGGAAAGCAACTTCTCTCTCTCTCTCTCCTACACACAGGCAGGTGTACACTTGTAACACAATGCTTTCGCACTTCACAATCGGTTGGCTGTCTGCGCTCACGCAGGCAGCAGAACAATAGGAGAGCGAGCCGAGGTCACATCCTCAACCCTGCCTGCAAATTTGCGAGCCGTTTTCACTCCGGCCGTGCCAGACCATCTGCTCGGCATTTGTGGACGTCGGAGCGAGAAGTCGCACGTCGGCTAAACTCTCGCTGCATCCGCCGCTGCAGCTCTTTTCTGATTCTCCTAAAACAAGCAAAACGTTATTTATTTATTTATTTATTTTTTTTTTTCTAAAGCGAAATTCAGGTTCTTATTTTTATTCTTTTTTACTTCCAGCTTTTCTTGTGTTCTTGTATTGTCTCTCAAGGCATAAAAAAGGCTAAATGAAGTATTTCCTTTTTTGTTTTTCTGATTGTTGTTTCTCGTGGATTGAAAAATAGTGTCATTTAAACAACATTATTACCATCAGTGATGGCTGACCATACTTTAGTTTTTCACGTCCAGAAATATTTTCAAACAGCCAAATGTGTGAGAAAAAAAATCAAGATACGGTACTCGAAAAGTTAAGACAGCAGAACTACATGTTTCTATATCATCAAACATTTATAAATATATAAATTATGAAAATCTCTGAAACCATGTGGCATATTTGGTAGAATTGTTGGTATTCTTCTTTTACACTTTGAGAACTCCTACTGATTTTATCTGTGTTAAGGTAAAATGTTACCTTAACTTTACCTATTTTCACTAATACGTAAAAACCACTATTTGTGTGTTTTAATATAGCAATTAGAATTTATTCATCTTTGTTCTGAAGAATGAGGAACTAAGAGGCTGAACATTTATGAAGGTGTTTACTGACTTCACACCTGGTCCGTGTCTGAACTCTCTGGTTCGTTCAATAAAGTTAAAATACTGACAAAAATATTCAAATAAATGTAATACCTCCCCAAAATCATTCCATTCAACTTCTAAACTTTAACAATAATTATTTTGCTATCAGAGTGCTGTTATAAGATTCCTGGTTTTTAATGGTGTATCAGTGTGACACAGAAGCGAGGGGAGAGCTAGGTATCTGCACTGAGTGGAACTGACAGCCTTCCAGGAAACCCAGAACGTTCTGGCGCTTTGAGGACGT